TCCTGCTTTATTTTTCTCCATAGCTCTTACCACCATTTAAAATACTATATATTTTACTTCCTTACCTTTAAATTGTCTGTTTTCCCGCATTAGAATGTAAGCTCTATGATAGCAGGGGATTTGTTTTGTTCACTGCTGTCTTCCCCAGACCCAGAGTAGTACCTGGAACATAGTAGATGCTCAGTGAATGCTTCTGAATGAATAACGTGAAAGTTGTGACTCGTGATCATTTGGCCCCTGATTTTAATATAAATACAAATAGTTGAGTTTTATTTTACAGGGTTATTTTAGATTTTAAGTAGAATTAAATCACATTGTTTAAAATGGGGATTTATCTATTCACCAAAAACCTCAGAATTTGTACTAGAAATGTGCATAGTGCATTGGAAGTTATGCAGCTAACTCAGTAATGAAATGCTGTTATCACATGAAAGGAATTTTGAAATTCTCTGCTAAATATCACTCAGGAAATTGGTGGAATATCTAAAAGCACATTTTTTTTTAAACTTTAAATGTGAATTATCTTCAGACTAACCCAAAGATATCCTGAAGTGTCATTACCCAGTTTGACCAGATTTAGCAGAAAATGACTTTTCATTGTTATAAAAAGAAAATCTATTCTGACTAATATTTGCCACCTTAAAGAATATTAAAAGAATATGCTATAAAATCTAAAGTAATTTCTCTGAAGGAATGTCAGCATATAGGTGCTGGCATGTTTTTATTTTTAATCATATTATGTTACAAATATTTTTATTTAAAATTTCTAGCATCTGAAGTACGTACACTTTTATTTTTAAAACACATGGCTCTTATTTCTTATTTCTTTAAGCAATATGTAAGATAATAGAAAAGGGTATGCAACTTGACCAGCCATTTTATGAACTAGATCTTTCAAAACAACAGCTCTAATGCCAAATTTCCTGCAGTATTCTCTCCAGGACAAGAAACAAACAAATAAAAAGCAATCTAGTCAGTGAACATCACAGACTTGTTTGAAAGCTATCTTTGGGCTGATGTAGTGCATAAATTACATCTTTGTACAAGACTGACATATGTGCCTATTCCCCCCTTTTATTTCAGAGCATTGGGGAGTCGACAATGTCTGTTGTGTTAAATCAGCTGCTTCCCATGATTAAGCCTTTGAACCAGAGGACTAATGATGACTACAGCCCCGAAGAGCTGCTGGTCCTCCTGATATATATTTATTCTGTCAGTGGAGAGTTCTCAGTGGACAAAGACCTGGGTGAAGGTGAAGAAAAAGTGAAGAAGGCGTTGGCTCAAGTCTTTTGTGAGGAGTCTGAATTGTCACCTTTGCTGCAAAAAATCACAGGTGAGTGTTTAACAAAAATAGAGGACATAAACATCACCGATACAGAAAACAGATTTAAAAATAAAGGCATTTGGAAATAAGATGTAACCATCTTCGTTGGAGTTGTTCAGAATTTCATGAGGCCTGATGAATGCTAGCCAGCCTTTTGGATTAGAGGTTTTTGTTGTAGGTTTTTTTTTTTTTTATTCCAGTTGTGGTAGGGAAATGGCCTTCTAGTTGCTTGTCAGTATTCATATTCTTAGAGCCTAAGCCTTGTTAAAATAGCAAAATACTCACAGGGTGTAATATCTTTAAGGAAAAATAAAATGATGTGCATCCATCCTATTCAAAGGATTTCTGTTGACATATTCTCTTTGAGATTGTCATTTCAAACTTAAAAACAAAAAACCTGTTTCCCTAAGATGTTGTACAATGTTATAGGATGAAAATTGCCATTTTCAAGAATAGTTTCATATTTTGACTTCTCATATTTCTTCTTGAATCTGAATTAATTGGTAGTATCCAAAATAATCCCCACACATCCCAGTAAAGTAGGCTGTTGATTTGGGGGAAGTACATAATTAAATATCCTAAAATCCAACCATTTTCACTTCTAGTAAGAACTGTGATATAACTTACGGAGATATTCATTTGTGTTGTTTCATATCAAATTCAATATTCTTTATATTTTGTGTAAAGCTTATTGCTAGTAGTGTGGATTGAGCCTGGGCCTGTTTGAGAGTGAGAAGTTATTAAAACTTACATGTAAAAATGTAAATACTTTAAAAACATACCAGGTTGCCATTCATTCATGGATCTCTGTGTGTGGGTGCATGTAGACCTCTCCACTGGGGAAGGCTCAGCTGAGGGAGGTTACATATCATCTGACTTTTCCTCCTGTCTCCTGTCCTGCCTCCCTGCGGGGAGCACCCAGCTTTCTCAGAAGCAGGCTGTGTCTCTGTCCACCTGAGCATCCCATGCATGTGTGCTTTCCTTTGTGCTCACTGCTGACCTTTCCTGTATCTGGTCATGGAAAATGAAACCCTGACAAGATGGAAACCAAATGAACTTCCCACAGAAATGAAACATTTCCTTGCCTAGTACAGAACCTGCTTGCCAACTTAAAATCTACGTAAGGAAAACTTGTGGGAGTTGTTCCCATTTCATTAGGGTACAGCACTTGAGTGTGATTCCATGTGTGTGTTTGGCTATAAATGAATATTGACTTAGAAAGGCTTAATATGGTTTATATAGAGCTTAGAACAGTGATTTGATTCAAAGTCAATTTCAGCACTAGGAGAGTATAATTGGAAGTTATTCTTAACACACATAATTGCAGAAACAGACAGCAAAGATGGTGTGTTTTAACGAGGGTGTTTGGATAGCTTTCTGCAGCTATCCAAATATCTCAATTTTGAGAATTGAGGTCAAGCAGTCAGTGTTCATTCGAATATTCGCTGAAGGTGTTTATTGACCCAGAATTTCATTCTTTATTGGTTTCTCTGTTTTATGATTGCTCAGGATATTGCATTTTCTTGCTTTTAAATGTGATTTCACGTTTAAAAACACTTCTGTACATTCGTGTTTATATTAGGAAAATTTGTAAAGTTAGCAGTTGAAGGTAAAAAAAAATACGAATTTGTGGAAATTTTAGTGTATCTTTAAATTTTGGAGACATCTTATTATATAATACAAAGTATACATTCCTACCTAGATTAGCTTTGGTTTTTTTTTTAATTTATTTTTTATACATCTTTACTGGAGTATAATTGCTTCACAATGCTGTGTTAGTTTCTGTTGTACAGTAAAGTGAATCAGCCATATGCATACATATAGCCCCGTATCCCCTCCCTCTTGAGCCTCACTTCCACCTCCCTATCCCACCCCTCTAGGTTGTCGCAAAGCACCGAGCTGATCTCCCTGTGCTATGCTGCTGCTTCCCATTAGCTATCTATTTTACATTTGGTAGTGTATATATGTCGATGCTACTCTCACTTCGCCCCAGCTTCCCACCCCACCTCTTGTGTCCTCAAGTCCATTCTCTGTGTCTGTATCTTTATTCCTGCCTCTGACAGTAGGTTCATCAGTACCATTTTTTTTTTAACTCCATATATATGCATTAGTATACAGTATTTGTTTTTCTCTTTCTGACTTCACTCTGTATGACAGACTGTAGGTCCATCCATCTCACTACAAATAACTCAATTTCGTTTCTTTTTATGGCTGAGTAATATTCCATTGTATATATGTGCCGCATCTACTTTATGTATTCATCTGTCGATGGGCACTTAGGTTGCTTCCATGTCCTGGCTATTGTAAATAGTGCTACTGTGAACATTGTGGTACATGTCTCTTTTTGAATTATGGTTTTCTCAGGGTATATACCCAATGGTGGGATTGCTGGGTCATATGGTAGTTCTATTTTTAGTTTTTTAAGGAACCTCCATACTGTTCTCCATAGTGGCTGTATCAATTTACATTCCCATCAGCAGTGCAGGAGGGTTCCCTTTTCACCACACTCTCTCCAGCATTTATTGTTTCTAGATTTTTTGATAATGGCCATTTTGACCAGTTTGAGGTGATACCTCATGGTAGTTTTGATTTGCATTTCTCTAATAATTAGTGATATTGAGCATCTTTTCACATGCCTCTTGGCCATCTGTATGTCTTCTTTGGTGAAATGTCTATTTAGGTCTTCTGCCCATTTTTAAATTGTGTTGTTAGTTTTTTTGATATTGAGCTCCATGAGCTGTTTATATATTTTGGAGATTAATCCTTTGTCAGTTACTTCATTTGCAAATATTTTCTCCCACTCTGAGGGTTGTCTTTTTGTCTTGTCTGTGGTTTTCTTTGCTGTGCAAAAGCTTTTAAGTTTCATTAGGTCCCATTTGTTCATTTTTTGTTTTTATTTTCATTACTCTAGTAGGTGGGTCAAAAAAGATCTTGCTGTGGTTTATATCAAAGAGTGTTTTTCCTATGTTTTCTTCTCAAAGTTTTATAGTGTCCGGTCTTACATTTAGGTCTTTAATCCATTTGGAGCTTATTTTTGTGTATGGTGTTAGGGAGTGTTCTAATTTCATTTTTTACATGTAGCTGTCTAGTTTTCCTAGCACCACTTATTGAAGAGGCTGTCTTTTCTCCATTGTATGTTCTTGCCTCCTTTGCCATAAATTAGGTGACCATATGTGTGTGGGTTTGTCTCTGGGCTTTCTATCCTGTACCATTGATGTGTATTTCTGTTTTTGTGCCACTACCACACTGTCTTGATTACTGTAGCTTTGTAGTATAGTCTGAAGTCCAGGAGCTTGATTCCTCCAGCTCCGTTTTTCTTTCTCAAGATTGCTTTGGCTATTTGGGGTCTTTTGTGTTTCCATACAAATTGTGAAATTTTTTGTTCTAATTCTGTGAAGAATGCCCTAGATTAGCTTCGGATGTACAGTTCAAACAGGGTGGATAAGATGTGCTACTTAGACTTGGCATAAGTCAACTTGCCAGTGGAACACACATGCATTGATCAACGCTTGTGGACACCAAAAGGACTTGATTTCTGAAGGTAGATTTTTACTTGGCCAGTATAGACATGCCCCTTATTAAGTATGTTGAAAAGTCACGTGTCCTGAGAAGTAGGGTTTATGTTTACAGTTAGCTGCTGAAGAGAATGTTTAATCTACATCTCAGGATAAGGAGTAATAGAATAGCGTTGAGGCAGTGGTGACTCAGTCTTGTAGAATAGGATGGAATACACAGCATGTACTGGAAGAATTGAATTGTCTTCCAAGTGTGCTTAGCCTTTCATGGAACTAGGTTAAGTTTGGCTTTTGCCATGAACTTGCCCACAGTGTTGCACTTATGTTATTCCAGTTTATAATCTCAGCTTACTTGCTACTGGGTGGCAGAAATTACCTTATGTCTTGTGGACATTTTGTGGTTGATGAGATTTAGTTTAAAAGTACTATTGAAAATAAGCAATCAAGATAAGAATTCTACTTTTTATATAATGCTATAATTTTACTAATCTTAACTGTTGATAGAATCAAGAAATCAGTACTTCTTCTGTACTAAATATTAAGCATGTTATCATCACTCAACTGCTAAGTGGTAGAACCAGGATTTGAACCTTCTGGATCTCGAGCCCATGTCTTTAAACATGGAATTCTAAACCTGCCACAGGCTCACTTCCGTAACCACTGCATATTGTATTCTGTAACTTATGCTTGCTTAAACTTACTGTTTTATGCCATGCATGCTCACTTTTTGAACAGTGAATTAATATTTGGTTAATATTATAGATATTACTTGTGCTTTTGAATCTGTCTATAATAGCTACTTATAGGAGTTTCCACATACCTTCCTATTTTGGTGCATGTATCCTCTTTGTTTCTCCATTGCTATAAAGAAATTAAAATATTATATCTAGTCACTGAAATCTATTTGTTGTCTAGCTTTCTAAAACAGGAGTAGCAAACTTAGATTCCTTTTATTTCAGTAATACCTCTCGACAATAATTACCCTATATTTAAAATTCATATTTCCTTTTATATGTTAAAAATGTAATTTACTTTTGATAGTTTCTTTCATTTCTCTCTATTCTTCCCTTTTATGGAAAGGGCAATGAGAAATTGTGTTCGGCAAAACAAAGCAAAACTTAAGCATGGTCAGCAGCAACGTATTATTTTCTTTTTAACAGGTACTCTTGGAGAGAGTGGTGGGCAAAAACTCTCTTTTCTACTCACACAAAATAACAAGGGTTGGCTCTCAGGGTGTCAGGGATGGGAGCTGTAAAAAGAAAATTGGTACGGCCTAAATGTGTCATTTATTGTTGTGCTTTTTCAGTCTTGCTAAGTTCAAAGAGAGTATCAGTTTCCATATATGTTAGTATTTGCATGGCAGTCACAAGAGAAAACAAAGGAAAACCATTTGAACTTTCTTCAGAGTATGAAATCAAAACACTCATTTCAAAGATCTGTGCAAATGTGAACTATCATCATACAGGGAGCTATGTCAGAAAAAGCATAGGCTTA